TGCGGTACGGTGCGGTGCGGTGCGGTGCGGTGCGGAACTCCAAGTGGAATGTTTCTTGATATTTACCGTGTATAATAAATAATGAACCATAATACATGGTAAAGATCAAGAAACTGTAGATTAATATTATGTTTTTATTAAGATCATTTAATTTATTTTAATTAATTAAGGAATGTAAATTTAATTTACCATATTAATAGTAATCCTTCATAAAAAAAAAACAAAATGTTAAATGACTGTTTTGGAAATTAGCCGCATATTTGAAGAAAATTCATCTTGTGATAAATTTTTGGACATGGCGTCAGGAGTGGTCACGTCCAAATCGGATCACACGATTCTCATGCGGTGAGCTTCTGTCTCTCTCTGCCCATCGATCAATGATGTTGAAAATGAAGTAAAAAAAACAACGTATGTGTTTAAAGAGTTTTTTAATATTCATGTCAAACATGCAGCGGATAAACTTTATAAATAAAATATTAACATTTAATTTAATTTATATCCCTTAATGACAATTGTACTATTTCATAAAATTCAATAAATGTTTAACTTAATATTCTAGTATTTACACAAACACTTTAATTAATATTAATTTATTCCAACGCATGTTGCGTCGCTTGCATTCATGTCTCTTACACGTCCGTACACTGAACCTCTGCTACATTTGCAATCGATCACTGACTAATTTCAATAATTTATTCTAAAAGTTTTATACACTAGATGTGTCCACCAAACACTCGGCCACTACACTGCGTGTTACATTGCGCCCTTTCGCCACTGGGTTGGCGCAGCAGCGAACAGTGCGTTTTAACTCGGGCATCGCACTTAACTACGCCGGCGTCAGGGCGGGCGCGTGTGACCGTTCCAGGGCCCGGGCGACGGTGGCGAGGGTGGCGAGGCAGGCGCGTCCGTCAGCTCGGTGAGAAGCTCGGAGCGCAGCGGCGCGGGGTAGTAGACGGCGGGAGCGGGCGAGGACCGCCGCGGCCGCGATCGTCCCGCGCGCTCTGAGCGCCGCAGCGTGCCGTTGCGCGCTGACATGCGCAGAGACATACGCTCGCCGCACGACGCTATGGAGTCGTCGCGCGTGTTCTCCGGAGAGTCGCGTGCGCTACGCGCGCGGATGCGCCCGGCGCAAAACAACTTTAGGAACACGCGTTTGAACTTCTCCCCGAAAATGACGTATATAACGAAATTTACGCTACTGTTTATTGTTACAAGAAGATTGCTAGTTTTCACCAAAGGATCGAGATTATCGAACTCGTCGCCAAGAAACACCTCGGAGGCATTGGTGACCAGAGGAAGTATGTTACAGAGGAAGAAAACGAGCACAACGACCAGCAGCATGGTGGCGAGGCCAAGCTCGCGGCGTTGGACGCGCGACAACCGAGCGCGCTCTGCCTGCGCACGCCGCACCTGCCGCACAATGCACGCGTTGAGCGCCGCCAACGCGGAGAACGGGACTATGTACATGACGACTAAATACATCCAGTGTATGTAAACTATGACGTATCTATCGGTTCGGAAGTCGAGGTCGGCCTGTACGCAGTAGATGATCTCCCCAGTCGCGGAGTCGCCGACGGTTATCACTTCTGCTTCGAAGAACTTGGGCGTGTTGTAGACGAAGGCGAAGGCCGCTGTGCCGAAGACGTACCAGCGGGCGCGCGACGACGTGCAAAGCGCTTTCGCGCGGAACGGGTGGCACACAGCCACCCAGCGCTCCACGGTCACTATTAGCGTCAGGTACACCGACATCGTCTGCGCAACGTTGGCCAGCGGGTAGACGTAGGGCGTGATCAGTGGACACACATGGTAGTAGTAGTATCGCAAGGCGCCCGTGTACGGATAGATCGCCGTGACGCCGAAAAGCAGCACCGATGTGAGGATAAGCGCGGTATCGCAGGCGGCGAGCCCCACCAGCAGGCAGTTGACCGAAGAGCGCATCTGCGGGCGCGACAGCACGAGCACGGCGAGGGCGTTGCCCAGCAGTCCAGCGGCGCCGATCGCGTTCAGCAACACGCCATGCACCACGAAACGGAACACCTTGTCGGCGGCGGGCACGCCTGCATCCGTCCCGCACTCCAGAGCCGTGCCGTTCATATCGGCCACGCGCGCCGAGCGGCATCGCGCGCGCCCGCCCCGCACGCCCTCACCACACACGCGCCATCTGCACACAATACACAAAAATAAGACGTTACTATACTTATGTCCTTGCTTTATCTATACTCTCTATACATATATACATGCTAAAAAAAATGGAGTCTGTGTTAATTATCGAAAAAAAATCATATTCCGTACACAAACATGATATATGGTGAGGTCAGAATGTCGATCTGCTTATCTATATCAATCTCCGTCATTGGAGATTCGCGTAACTTTCCGTTGTATGTAGTTAAATGGAAGAAGCACCAGCTTCTTAGCCAGCCAGTACCAACTGGAAGCGTGTTCCATACAGCATTCCGAACTTGCGCATTTTATAGCTGAAGGCGGTGAACGTGCCATGTATAATGCTTCCTCCTCCTGCTGTGCTCATCCTAAGCTTTTGGAGGCCAGTTTAGACTTATCACATTGTCGAAAATAATGATGCTGGCATCGAGGGGGGTGCTTTTAATGTGCATGTCAGAGACCTCTTCCCACCCTTTTCTTATAAACAAGGAATGGCAAGAGGAGGTGAGTTTGGCACACGAGGGAACGTATAGAAGGGCATAACCATCTTTCATTGTGTCCCCTCCTCTGTCGGTAAAATGTAGGTATCGCAGCTACTCGATGAGCTGCATCGCAATGTGAGCAATAAATAGGTACTGTTTTCATCGTGTATTGTGTGACGCTAATAGAATTCCCGCTCATCCCGCTTCATCTGAACTTACGCTAAAAATGTTCGAACTGAAGAGACATTATTATTATATATTTAACCGTTTAGTCGCGGGCAACAGATATGCGACGATAAAATCATTCCGAAGTACATAAAGGCCGACACGAAGCGATCGTGTGACTGATGAAACAATTCTGTGCTCTTCATTCGGCCTCCTGATTTAGTGACCTCGGCGAGGAGACGGATGGGAGGACGGCGGCGACTGGGCCGCGTAATACCGCGTTGCGTCATCGGGTGCCGCCATCAAAGAAATCAAATTGCCTATATTATTCACTGTTCCATTAGTTAGAACGTGATTTCTTCCTGACCGGCCGCTCGTCCCCGACCACTCAGCCATTCTAAATATCGATAGAGGCGTTATCTGAGAGGCCGCAGGGATGTTTCAACGCCACCGCACTGCCGCCGGTGGATAGTGCTACTACTACAAAATCTATTGCCGAAAAACAAAACTATTAGACATTTAGATCGGCTGTACATACACAACATTTTCAAGCGATTTGATTTATCTTACTTGTTAGCTATATATAGTATACATAGATACTCTTTAATTAACTCGACAGCTACGCGTTCGTTGAACACATCTTTTTCAATTTAAAGGGATCCAGAAAAATATACTGTTACCACTATATTGATTTTATTCTTAACATTTTTACTGAATAACTGTTTAACGTTTCAATAAATCTATATATGTAAACATATATATGTACATACTAGCAGTCGCCCGCAACTCCGTCCGCGCGGATTTAGAAAAAAACATAATTAGCAGCCTATGTGTTCTTCCAGACTATGTTCTATATGAATGTCTCATTTCATAGAGATCCGTTCAGCCGTTCTGTAGCTACATCAAGGTATACAAACACAAACATCAATCCTTCCATCCATCTAAACATTCGCATTTATAACATTAGTAAGATAAGAAAGATGTAGCACATGCGTGGGATAACACCAGCCATATGTGAAGTACATATGTTTGCAGGTGATGCATGCCATCTCTTGTCATATCCATAGCAGTATCACAAATTGTGTAAAACGTAACAGATGCGTACTCGCACTGTTAAATACTTAGGTATTGACTACAAAAGATGTAAATCTGTCGTCTGTCGATTATGGCTTTCTCTTTGCGGAACGTAGCTCTGTAGGACTTTTAGTGAAACGCGGATCCGATTTGACATACAAAAACAACTAATAGACCAGGTTGCAAATGGAATGAATAAGATTATTCTTTCATAGAGGATTTCTGCCAATTACAAAAAACGAAGTGTTTGCGAAATAAAAGAAACCCACCAGTATGTTTCACATGTCAATTCCACGCCACGGACGAAGTGCGCGGGCAAATACTAGTGTAGCATATTTGTTAATATTGTTTCTTGGCATCCAACACTCAGTGTATTTAAGTATGTTTTAAATATACTTTGAGAATATTGTTCCCGTCGCAAATATAGAGAGTAGTGACAAAGGGGACCGGGCGGGGCGGTGAGGGGCGGTGAGGTGAGGTGAGGTGAGGTGAGGTGGGATGAGGTGCGAGCACAAAATGCACGAAGATGACATATCCCTTGTTCCGTCCGCCGCCAGAGCGCTGCCAACACCGCTACAACTTACAACAGATAACATGTGAGCCCATTTTATCCCTATCCCTATCACTAAAAGAATCTGATAATTTTATGTTAAAATTGAAGATATGGAAGCTGACATAAAAATTGTCTTTTGGTGAAATGTCGGCGGATTTGGCAGCGGAGGCAGCGCGTTAGGCGCGAAACACCACTTTTGTTGCTGTAATAAGTTGTCGGATGTAGGACAGTGCTGCCAGTCTAATTTAATGATATTGTTGGTGTAACTATTGCGGAAAGAAATATTTTTTTTATTTTTTTAAGTGCCGAGTAATATAATTATTATAAATCAAACAAACGCTTCATATATCGCCTCGCTGATTTTTATTAGAAAAGTTTCAGAAACTCTCAGATGAAATAAATGATTTTATGTTTAAAGTTTCATCCGCTTGCGGCACTGACGCGCTGACTACTATCACGGTGCGCGAGGGATGCCGGGGGATGCCGGGAAGTGCGAGGTGATATATTGATGACGTGTACATTTTATGGTCCTCGGCGCCGCTAGTGAGTGTGACGACACCGGTGTAATTATCATAGAATAATTTTGGGAAACTTCGAGAGAGTCCGTCGTCAGTTCTTAACCTATCACCACCGCACAGCACACTCACTGCACAACGCCCAACGCTCACACGCAATTTGAAGTAGATGTATGCGTACTTTATAACTTGTATTTTATTTTTAAATGTATTTTTCATGTTGCTAATATATAACATTTAAGCATGGAACATCATGTCTACATCGGAAGGAATGAAAGCATCCCCTCCTCCATCAAATTCACTTCCCCTTCCCATCCTTTCCTTAGAAGAAAATGATGGAAAGAGAAGGAAGACTAAAATTAGGCCTCCGGAAGGCACACTCATGAGACAAAACACAGAATTACTTCCTCTTGACGGCCATCTTCTGTGTGATCGTGGTATTGCACCGGTATTGCATTCTTCGCACGAATGCGTCTCCCACTGTTACTGTAGCTGTTTAATGCCATGTGCATTTGTAATGTAATTTCAGCTCAAGTTATGGCGACCGAACAGCCAGTCATATGTTTGTATGTATTTATGTAGCGATCTGTGATTGTACCAATCAAATATCTATGCAAACTACGACTGATTATTATTCTGTCTACTGTCTAGTCGGCCGCGGCAAGTTGCACGTCGTCACCAAAGCGATGGTCGCCTTGACTCCAGTCCTGCAGCGAAAGATGCGCGCTACATCTATACAAGTGCCGTACAATAATTCTGCGGAAATATGACACGTTTATTCACAGGTTATCTTTGAATATTTTAAAAACAGCGTTTTCTACTGATCTCCCCTTGCACAAATCACTTTAATACCCCAATGACGACAACTTAAGATTTCGCGCGTATGTATGTATGTATCCTTCGTTCCTATTAAAAGCCTAAATTAATATACCATGACATATCAAATTCTATACATGGCGGCCGTGTCGATATTTGACGATTTTTAGTTATTTTGTGGAAATTGCAAGAGAAAGGGAAGTGTCAATATAAATTAAGGGACGTTAATGACACACGAATAGTTTTAGCACAAAAAGTTTTCATCAAATGATTTCACAATTTACAGATTGGTTTTATATGTGTTAATTGTAGTTTATCCGTGATTTTGATTAAATCCGTTACATGCAAGTTGCATTGTGACGGCCTAGAAACGAAAACTACTGAACTGATTTTGACGAGTGAGGAGTCATTCGATTAGTGTTCTTCCTCGACTGTACCAGCGCCGCGGCGCCGCTGAGTCATTACAAATTGTCTCATATTCTAATGCAGGAAAAATTTTATAGAATCTTCTTCGCTTTTTGCGAAAATAAAGACTTATGAAAGTGTAAAACAGAAAAGTGACGCGTTTTCACCGGTCATAACATACTACGCACATCATTACGTGACGCAGATTAATATTTAAAACGAAACAGACATCGCTCTCGATGATGTATGTAAGTTCGAATGAAGGCGGACCGAGCGGTTGATGTGACGCGACTCTGCACTGACTTGTGCCAGTGCCAGTAGCACAGACAGTGCCAGTGTCAATGACTGTGCCGGTGCCAGTGCCAGTGACAGAACTAGTTACCTCAACATAGTCAACATTTATATGCAACGCGAATAGTTAAACTTCGCCGCTACGGCTTTTTAATGAAACTTTTTAACAAAAATGTAAATAAAAAATACTCGAGTAATAAGTAGTATCTAAGTCTCTCGTGAAAAGTACCGACTAAAAAGGCCGACGTGACCTGTATGTCATGTGCGGGGCAGCACGGGCGGCGGGGCGGAGGGGGCAGCTTGAAGATGCAAAGTGTTCAAGTCTCCACGCGCTGGCTCCATTCATTGTAATCCCCTCGAAATATACTATGTTGTAAAAGTTGAAGTACAAAGAACCTGGCTTTTTTAATATGTCTTTTACAGAGAGTTTGTTTTACAGGCAAACTAAATACTTTATGTATGACCGCCCTAACCGCGTTCACAATGACGACGGCGTCACGGTAATCGCTCACTCGAGAAGTAGTTTACCTTTACATCACAGTACAGTTCGCCAAGCATTCTTGCGTGCCACACCCACCCAGTCGAATGTCTTCAATATGCCGGTCGAGATAGTGAATAGTAATTACTTCCCACTTCTTCTCTAGGGATTCACCTAAAAAGTGAGTGACATACAATGCAAGTTTTTAAAACTGCTGGTAACTTATCGCGTCCACAGACTTTATTCACTTATAAGTTACACAGAACTTTTAGGATATATTTTTCCTTGACGCGGAGTCATAGTATATAGTTTCGGATCGAGTCATTTGAGGTGTAATGACATTCCCAGTGGCTAGTTGTGAAAAATAAATCTACTTTCTCAATGCCATTGTGGTAAAAATCTTTTTAGTAGCGACAGAGAAGGCCTACAGAAGTTTGCCATAGCAGTGGAGTCGCCCAGAAAGCTTTCTGGAAGGAGAGCTCTCCTTCCGCAGGGTTCGCTAGAAACCAATACGCTTAATATTGAGGAGACGAGTCTTTCGCAAAGACTTTAGTTATGTCCTAGGGGCTTAGATAAAGCATCCTTCCTGGAACTGAAATCCGGAAAATTACACCGATCTATGAGAAATATGCCAACCGTTTGCGCTGTACCGCATTTACCGCATTTAGCGTTGAACCATGGATGAGCTTTACCACCGATGGGTGTGATACTATATATTGTAGCATTTACGCATTTTACGAATGCAAGTGCAACAACAACAAGCAAATATTGTTGTCTTCTTTTTCCAAGGAGGATGCGAGGGGTGACAACGTGTCTCAAAATATTGTCAAAGCATAGTGCAACAACAACAAGCATCTTTATAGATTCATTTTTATTTAGTCAGCTAACGTAGAGTTTATATTTTCTACTGCATCATACAAACATGGGCAGAAAAAACAGCCGTCGTCACAATATGATCTGGTGAACGCTTGAGACACGCATCAGACAAATGTACATAGCAATGTTAGCACATTGATTTTTATTTATCTGAAGACAAAATCATCATTTCACTGAATAACGTGGCAAGATGCCAATTGGTGGTTTTTTGTCTTCAACGTTTCTTCAAAATCAATCGACTCATTTGACGCACCTGCTGGCTATGGGACAGCTGTTCAGTTCAGAAAAGGTTTATCATCTTTTGTGTGTTGCAAAAGAAAATAAACCGTGATGAATTAGAATGCTATTCGAGAAAAATATTATATAAATTATTTTTCAATTTTTTTGTTATTGAGCCAAGCGTTCAAATGAAGTGATGTTGTTTGAGCGGGAAATACACCATATCCAATTATACAAGTGCATAAAATAGTATTACATACGAACCTGAAACTGGGGATCCCGGCGTCGTCCTTTGCATTTACGACTATTTTTAAAGTTTGTCACAATCACGCACAAATCTCATACAGCTCACGTGGCGCGAATCGAGATAGCACGGAAAGTTCGGGTAAGCAGATCCTGCGCGCGGCACCACACTACTCCACCGCCGCCGTCGCTGCACTGCCAGCGCCGCCGCCCGCCCGCTGCGTCCCCGCCCCGCGCCCTCGCTCAACGTTCCGCCCCGCGCGCCGCTCCCTAACCCCAAATGTTACCCCAGCACCAGCGTTCTATCAACTTTTGCGATGGAACTTGGTGCTGACGCGCCGACGTGGGTCTATAACATAATGTGTTGAAGGTCGACTTTCAGTGCAGAGCCCGCGCCACTTAGTTCATTACATCTGGACAGTGCAGTATCGGGACATCTGTTCTTAAAGTAATTTTATATTTTAAATAATACACTTTTTACAATATAACATTATTAGCCCTTAACTATTTTTATAACTGCAGATGCGTGAAGTTCAACAACGGCAATAAAAATATCTTTCGTCAGTTTATTTTTAATCATTGTATTAGCACGTGTGCGCGGACGCAGCTCGCGACTGCTAATAGAACTGTGTCGCTTGACGCGCGTCGACGTCTCGCAGGCGATCGCGGTGTCGCGTTGTCGCGGTGTCGCGCTGCCTTGTCAGTGGCATCATTACCAGCACAACGTACAACGATCCGCACAATTTCTCGCAGCTTCTTTTTTGCCAAATTATTTCATAAATTTAAGACATTTTCGGGACTTCAGAATTCGACTTTCAAGGCAGCAAGGAAAGAAGAATCCGTGCTAAGCAAAACGCCAAATATGACGTAATGACAGATCCCTCGGTCTATCCATTACTATTTATTATTATCGTCCGTGAATCAGTATGAAGTGAATGACAAAATCTTAACGGTGAGGAGTGTCGTCTAACGATTGAGGACGTGCTATTCGTACATCCCTGTGGCCAGAAGCCGCCAAAAATATTTGTAATTTCACTAGATGGATACACTAATAATAAAATTAAATGATAGTCATATTGTTATAAGCGATGTCGCGCACCTCCGCTTGGCAAAGAACCAACTAACTACTCGGTGCTGGCTGCCAATGATCTCACGGCACAAGCGCAGCACCGCGTTACAGGTCATCACTAGAATAGTACCGCCGGCCACCGGCCACCGGCCACCAACAACCGACGACCGGCCGCCGGCCGCCGGCCATAATCTGCTTGCCACCAGCCACCGGTCACCTATGGTCTAAATTCTTCCTATGGATTTGCCTAAGCTAAATTCAAGCTCGCCACCAACGTGCAGCCTCTATAATATCCCTTCGCTTTTCCATCAAACAACTGCTTCGTGACACATTTAACCAATCTGCTAACGAAATCGTCGATTAGGAGGCTTTCCTTCCCTGACACCCATTACACCACCCACAGAATAATGGAACAGAAGCAAGTTTAAAACACGGCCCACCTGCGCGATGATAGCGTGCAGCAAACTCCGCTTGCTCCGCGCCCGCGCTCGTACCGGCCACAATGCGTCACGTCGGCACTGAACCGACAGCTTTATTTATAGCGTTAAATAATATATATGCTAAAAAAAAACACTTATCTTTTATGTTTTCTCAAGTACCTAAGTCATCTGGCGTTACGGTAAAAAGATTTATGTTTTCTTTTAGAGAATCGATCACCGTATCTACATACACCTTGGAGGAAACGATTTATGGGCGCGCATCAAAAGTTACTTCTAGGCGCGTCTCTTGCTGTACGTAACGGTTCATTAAATTTAGAAAATTCTTCCAGCAAAATACAGTGTTCAGCGTCTCACAGTCTGTAAAAGTTTCTCCTGTCCTAAGACATTGTAGCATACATAATGATAATTGTTATGAACAGCAAACATAAATATGGTCACCAGAACACCAGATCTCGATAGAAGAGATGTATGTGGAGACAAACCCGACATGAACTCGACATATCCGTAATTGGCTGAACAACAGCATGCATTGAGCTCGCATTAGAGTGATTGGCGCGAAAGAGCTACGCTTTTGTCAGGCGCTGTGTCATATTTATAGTAGCAGACAGTTACAAGGCGAGAGTCCGACCCGACCTTCTGAATATTGGCTTTGAAATTCATCGAAATGACATACCGCCCAGTTATTAGTAACCTTACCTATATATGTACAATTTACATAATTATTGATAAATGACTTTGTGTAGGTATGTGATTGTGTATGTTCATATGTTGCGACAGCCACAGTAAGCCAAAACGCGTAAAGCGTGCGAAACATTCACAAGTGAACACTTTTACTTTATTTTTCGCGCGACATCGAGTCTCTCGGTAGCGAAGCGGTTGCCCACAATTTTGTTCCTCCGAATACACATCGAGCCGAAACGTTTTGTTCGGAAGCCGTTTGACAACCATATTTAGGTATTTTAATATTAAATGTCTTATAATCTCCGTCCTTAAAAAGAACAAAGCTTTATATCGACATCGAGTCGTATATTCAAATGAATGTAGGTGAATGGTCAGTGAGATTGTGTTTGCGCCTCCGACGTTGACGACGGCTGACTTCAGTTCGGGCGGCGCGAGTGTGAGACGAGACACAGCCGCGGCACGCGCTTGGAAGATGAAAACACAAACACTTGTGGTGAGCTCAATTCGACAGGTGTCGCTGCTGTTACGTTCATTAAGATTTTGTGCGTTGATTGACGTGCGTGCGTCCAGTTGGCGGCCGGCGCTAGCGGTGGCTATAAGTTTGTGTTACTTTTTGCAATTATAACCTGAGAAATATACATTTCATATCATACATATATGTTATATGTATATAACGTGCTTATCATAAGTTGCGATTTGCTCTGAGGAATGTTTAGGGCGGGCGCAGACGCAGTCGAAAATATTAAACATATTATGATGATGTGCAATTGTTTACGTAGAAATCCCACGTGCGGTGTGAGCAGCCGCGCCCGCATCTTCCACAAGAAACCACTTATAGACTACATAATCAGCTTGAAGATATTGAAGTGTCAGGCTGAAGGGCAGTACGAAATATTGATATTGCGATAAACAAAGTATGTCTAATTATGTTAGATTTCATGTGTCGATGCGTGGCGCAGGGCGCGAGGCGAGGGCGGGGGCGAGTCCGGGACGCGCGTGACGCCGGGTAATGTTACAATATCCTTTCGAATCTGGGAGGATAATAGAGCTCTTAGGATCCGCTTTGTTTTCTTTGGCGCTAAAATCATAAAAATAAATTTAAGTTATAAGTAACATGAGCCGCGGGTAAATGATTCAAATTCGATCTTTCAATTGTTTTCATGTTACGCATTTGTCGTGGATAAGGACGGGATCATTGTCTAATGCAAAAATAGGGAAGGTCATAAAAATAAAATAGTGCATCATTAGACAGACCCTATTGAGTTTTACAGCAATTGTCTAGACTCCGTTTTATTTGTTTTAAGTTCTCTATTCCAGACGTTTAATTAAAAATACCGCAAGTGCTCTTTTTCTTATAGTGACGTCATCGGCTCAGTGTAACACTTGCGGTATGGTAAATAACTATTTGCTAGAATTGTAAAGTTCTTACATAGATTTTTTAGTATCATAAACAGAAAAATGAGTTAGCAGCCACATGAATTCGCAGAAATAGCGAAGCGACCGCAGCCCTTACACATAAGATGCGTTACCTACCTTTATTCAACAGAGGAGGGTATGCACAGAAGGAGAATATTTCTCTTTCCTATGCATCCTTTCCTCCGGCAAACCTTCTTAATAAGAAAAGGGTGGGAAGCGAAAGAGGACTAAAATTAGGGCTCCTGGACGCACACACATCAGAGGAAACGCGGAATTGGTTCCTCTTGACACTTGTCCTCTGTGTGGTCGTGGTATTTCACAGAGCGAGCCGGCCAATTCATTCACTGGCGTCTACCACTGTTATACCGATACATATCTGACTTCTGACAATATTGTACATGTGACAGTCTGCATGGATGTTTGTTTGTTACAATATAACTCCAAAACGGCTGAACTGAAATCGTGATGATATTTGTACTAGGAATAGATTACAGCCTAGAATAGCACATAGCATCCAAATATTTTGTTTATACCTTGCTGAAAGAATCGCGAGCAACAACATCTAGTACGACACTATTATGTTTAACCTTCCTCTAGCTATCCGTGGACAATGTGCGTTTAACTAGGCAGCCGTAGGGTTAGTGGGGATGGGGGGGGGGGGGGCTTAAATAAATAATATCTCCCAACTCGTCCTTTAAGTAACTCAATACGCACTCCGCCGCCGCTACGAGGAGTACCCGCAATGCGATACTGTTCAGAGTTGCTTTCAGACTAAATTTGATATTCGATTGTATATTGTTATATTATTATAGAAGCAGCTCAGAAACACAATGAAAAGGAAATCCAATAAGCGCCTCTAGAGCTCACAATAGGTACACCTCTTCTGACACTGAGCACCGATGACTGCCTCTCTAACTATTTGAACATTTATAATTCCAGCAACCTGGGGTACTCCTATTTACCGGACTTTAAACATGTTTCTCAATAGTGTCAATGTCCCACAAACGGCACAATGAGGATTTATATCTTCCCAGAACGCAACAACAATGCAGCTATACAATTGTCATATAAAACAGTGAGATGTATTTTGCGCGGTACTTGTTAATTAATTAATTAATGTTTATAAAAAATAACGTCTTGGCCGGCGGGGTGAGGTTTCCTTGACATTTTGCACATCTTTGCTAATACATTAGAGTGGGACTACTCGGACTGTATCGGTATGTCTACAATATTAACACTATATTATTACTTTAAACTTGCGTACCTATCTGTATATGTACGAGTACACAAAGAAATGTATATCAAGGAGGACAATGAGATTATCGTTAATTAATAACGTCATTAGTGACGGTGACGTGACTTGATTATGACGTGACATAGATGATGATGTGATGTGTGAGGCGAGAGCCCCGCCGCCGCCCCGCCGCCCAGCCGCCGCCCTCGCCATGCGAGCTGATTGATTGATTGATGCTCGTTTAGTGAACACAATCGCACGCCGCTGGAAATCAGACGAAGACGAACGAGCCGCGTTACGTTATCAATTAATGAGGACCGATCAGACTACACACACATACACACACGCACACTCACACGCAGAGCTTGAATATGACGCGCCG